TTATTGTACTTTTTGCCCCCAGAATTCCCATTTGGTTCTTTTTGTAATTTCTGTCCCTTTATTGATATTCTCAAGATACTGTCATCATACCTCCTTTAATTCTTCGGACATGGTCTCCTTTAGTTATTTGAACATATTTATAATGGCTGCTTTGAAATCTTTGATAAATTCAATATCTGGGTCTCTTCAAGAGTAGTTTCTATTGCCTGCTTCCCCCCACCCCCATGTATAGGTCACATTTTGCTGTTTCTTTGCATGTCTCATAACTTTTTGTTGACATCTAGACATTTTATTAGATAATATATAGATAGAGAATATAGATTATATAGTACAATATAGTATAGCAATTCTAGATACTGATTCCCCCTCCCTGGGACACTGATTTTGTTGTTTGCTTGGTTGTTTATTTAGTGACTTGGCTAAATTGACTCCATGAAGTCTACTTCCTCTGTAATGTGCAGCCTCTGATGCCCTTACTCAGATTTTTTTCTTGATTTTATTTTTTTACCTGGTAATATAGGGTTTATCCCTGGTTCAGCATAGGCCACTTACTGGTTAAAGATTGTGCTTAAGCCTCATCAGCCAGTTAGACTTTTACCCCTTACCATTAGATGCTTATGTGGCTTGGAGGCTACTATCAAATTTCAAGGAATTTGTTTCTGCCCCATATTCAGCCAGGTACTAATAGCTTGGATTTTCCCTTTCAATCACCCCTGAGAGGGCACAGCCTTGAGCATGGACATAATTTTCCACATTACCACAGATGTGTGCAGTTTTATTTTTAAGCCTGGCTTCTCAGGAGTTGCCCCTGGTGAGAGTAGCTTATTGTTCACCAAGTGTTTGGTCAGAGGTTGTGCTCACGTCCCTAGTGCCAGTGAGGCTCCCGCTTTTTGTTGCTTGATCTGTATACAGCTTGGGGACTGCTTTCAAGTCCAACTTATGTCCTGCTCCAATTGCTTCTGAGTGGGTATAGCCTTGTGTTTATGAATATCCTTCCAGATATCCACGATTGATTATAATCCCAGGAACACTCTTCCTGACTTTATTTCCCTGATTCTCTGTTACCAAACTTCTGATTGCTTGGCCATTTTGTTTGCTGCAACTTGTATCATAGACTTATGAGCACACTGTTAATTGTTTTCCACTAAGATTTCCATTATTTTTTACAATGCCCTTAAGCATGAAATTCTTCATGTTCTGTTCCACATGAAGTCAGGCCCTTCAGGTAGAGCTGTGGAGTTCTTCATTCTTAAGGACCCCTCTCTCTCTAAGCAGATCCTCTGGAACACCCTACAAGAGCTGGAGACAAGGACAGTGGCACACTTATCCCAGAGTGAAATCTCTTCCTTATGAATGGGTGCTGGTGTAGTTTATGGCTTGCTTCATCCAGCATAAACTTCTGACCTATGATCGAGTTCAGGCTGGAGCAATAGGAGCATAGTATTGCTGGCTTGCTGTTCTTGGGTGAGTACTTCTACACTATAAGTGAGTGCTGCTCTTGGGCTGTGTGGGGGAAGAGATGGCTGTGTAGGAGAAGAGTCTTCTTGGGTCTACCTGGAATAGAGCTTCTACAAAGAAGAACTGGAGTAGATGAGAAAAGCAGACACTTACTCCTCCTGGGTAAAACCATAGTTCTAGATAGGGACCTAGGGAAAGAGGGAGTCCTCATTTTCTTGACCACACCCACCTAGATTAGAACTTCCTTGAGTAGTTTTCACAGAACAGAGTTTGGAGGTGGGTAGGAGCAGGTTCGTGGTTCAAATGCCACTGACTCTCTTGTTCTTTCTGAGATTTAGTAGATTTTATTGAATGAATATTTCTCTATTTTCTGTGTGCCTCCAGGACAATTTCCAGAAGCTTTGATTTAAAAAAATTGTTTTTCAAGTTAAATGGCTATTAGTTGGTGAGAGTCCACTGTGCTCCTAATTTTTCCATTCTAGAAGTCATGTTCCCAGATCATATTTTTAAATGTTAATACTGGCTCCTGAATTAACCATATTCATTTGTAATATTATTCTTCTATTTCTACCCCTTGTTTGTTAAACATTCCTTTAAATGTATTAGAATTATATCCTCTTCCTTCACCATTACAATGTAATTCAGATTTTTTTTTTTTGGTTATCCTTTGAAAACATGAACTAATTAGCCTTTGATATATAGCTTAACTCAAAATATCTAAATATCCAAATAAATTACAGCTACTAATTCTTGCCTTTGTCCATATGCTTTTGGTTACTTTAAATCTTATTTTGTATAAGAAAACTAGCATGTAAAGGGGATACTCATATAATAAAAGTTTGACTAAGTTCCTTCATCTTTTATCCTATTACTACCCTAGAAACAATATCTTTCATATAGTAAGCATTCACATACAGTCATGTATAGCTTAATGATGAGGATACATTCTGAGAAATGAATCATTAGGTGATTCTGTCATTTGGTGATTATCATAGTCTACTTATATAAACCTAGATGGTACAGCCTACAATATACTTAGGCTATATGGTATTTCCTATTGTTCTTAGGCTACAAACCTGTACAACATATAATTATAGCACAATGGTAAGTTATTTGTATATAAAACATAGAAAAATGTTTAGATATGTACAATAAAAATGTGGTATTGTAATCTTATGGGACTATTGTTGTACATGTGGTCTGTTGTTGACTAAAACATTGTTATGTGGTCTATGACTATGTATGTGGAATGAATGAACAGAAAGGGATTATTTCCTTTAAGAGAAATAAGCTGCCTTCCCCTAAAAGGTTATGCCTGCTTATATACTGACTGAACCTGTTCTTTATTGGAGGTAATCTCCTCCCCTTCCTAGATTTGTGAGACTCACAAAGCAGTTGCCAGTAACACTTCTGGAGCCCCTGCTAACTTACCCCACTAGAACTTCCTAAAGTTTTCTTGGATAGTGTAGGCTTTATTTTATCTGAAGTTAGTAAGCCAACTACAAGACCCAAGGATCCTTATCAGCATCAGGTTTTGATAATAACAAAGTAGATCTTTATAACTCTTAATTAAACCTATTACTCCATTAACAATGTTTTATCAGAAACCCTGTATATTTTACTAAACTCTTGATCAACTCCATTTTCCCCCATAAAAAGGCAGACTCTCCTCAGTCAAACTGAACCCCTATATATGTGTAGCCTGAAATGACACAATTATCATTTACTGACCTTACATAACACATATGACATTAGCCTCAACTGTCATGTATCTTGTATCACTATCTCTTTCTCTTGAAAGAATTTTATTCTCAATAAATTAAAACTACACAAGAATGGTCAAGGTACTTTACCTGTCCTCTACAGCCAAAACCTCACTCTTGACATACAATCCACACTCCTACAATCATACCAATAAAGACTGATAAAGTATGCCACCCAATGGATGTTCTATTGTACTGCACTCATAAAATATGTTCATAAATTAGCACTTGTAATCCTCAAGTGAGGTTACCAAAAAACACTAGAGAGTTATAAAAGAAACATTGGGAAAAAAAGGAAAAGTGATGATCATAGTAGGAAAAGGATAGTAGTCTTCAAGAGTGATGACACCTGAAACTCCAGTGGTAATGATAATATATGAGCATCTCCAGATCAAGGTGGAAAGGTAACAATGCTTCAAAAACACCTAGCATTTACTGTGCACCCTTCCCAACCTGTAATGGAAGTTGAAAAAGTATGGATGGGAACTGGGTAGAATTAGGCTCAAGCTCCTGAGACTAAGATTAGACTCTATTTCTTACTCTCTTGCTACACAATTTAATCTTAGAAATTACTCCTTCAATATGGTTCAAATTCAACTATTACTTATTGAGTACCTACTATATTCCACGGCACTGTTCTAGATGATTTCATACAAATTCTCATTTAACTCTTTTAGAGCTTTATTAGTTCTGCTCCTAAAAGCTTACTTCTTGGGACTTTTGCTTATGTCCAGGGGGTCAGGGGATTTTCCAATATCCATGGGGCTTAATTGTGGAAGATCACAGAATAGGGGACTTGCACATCTCTAGAGTTGTTTATCTACATGAGAGCCCAAAAAGATCAACCTAAGAAGCAAGAAACAGGGAGAAAATAGGTAACATTGGGGAAAGGAAACAAACTAGGAGTCATTTTACTCTATTATGTATTCTATTGACTATCCTAGAATATATTAACAAGATATCCAAACTGCAAAGTATCACTGAAAAGTTCACATCCCACCATATAATAGTCACATTACTAATGAATGCAAAAGTTTCTACTTAGAAAGCAACTGTGTGCTTGTCCCATGGCTTGGCACTACCAGAGTGAGAAGCACAGTAGAGAGGAGAAAGCAAGGAGTCATAATTAGAAGTACTGGGTTCAGTCCCGTGGCAGTATAGGTACAGTCATATCTTTCAGCTCTTTAAATGCTCCTGGTATTTAAGAAAAGGAACAGCTAGGCTCCTTCTTGTTATGAAGACTCACAAAATGACATTGATGAGGTGGCTAGAAGATGAACAAGTAAAGCCCAAGACTAAATATATACTCATAATTTACTCTAGGAAATAATAAACGATAAAGCTTACCCAATGGCACAAATTTCTAATAGTTATTTTTATGTGTGGCCAACATGTGCTAGGCCTATGAGTCCCGAGACAACTTCAATATCCACAAATTTAAGAAAAAGAACAATGTTTATCTATGTAACATTATCTTATTTGTATAGTATTTTATGTTTTTCAAAGAGTTATGCCCGTTATTTCGCTTTCACAATTCTCTACAAAATGTGAACATAATACATAAAAGAGTATCAGCAAATAATCACCTCAAAAAAATATACAGACTTGACACAGCAATTGTAACATTGAAAAGTTGGGGATATATGCAACACACAATTCTATCGACCTAAAATTTTGTTTCTCCTTCTAAATATAGACATGGTACAACATACCAATTTACTCTACAGGAAAATAGACCTTGAGGCTTACAGTTGACAAGAGACTATGTTTTCTAGTCACCTGGAAAACTGAAAAACACTGGAATCCAGAGGCGTAAGTTGAAGAGGTGATCTGCTTTCTTCTCTAATGGCTGGAAGCACATTAGGGCTATCAATTTCCTCATATCCAGTTGCCATGTAATTCAATCCAGCCATATCTTGAATAGTAGGGATCTTTGGTGGATTACTGAATACCTAGAAAAGAAAGAAATAATTTATAAAAATCTCCAATTCAAACTAAATGTCAAAGGATGAGTCAATCCTTTTGATGCTAGGAAAGAATGCTTGGGCAAATAAAAAGAAACTGTTTCCTACACAAAACAAACAGCGCGCAATAATGTACACTAGAACACTGAACCCAGGCAGGTTCAGTTATCAACCTTATCAGCAGGACACCAAACAGACCTCCCCCACCTCACTTATTGGCTCCTAGAGTCATCCCACCCCCAACATAAACCCAGGCCCCCTTAATCACTGTCTAATTCTCTCTTGTGACCCAGTTTAAGGCTGACAGCTTTCACTCCTCTGACATCTGTGATAATGGTTGGGGTGGAGGGAAAAAGCATTGCAGCAAGTGTCTGTTCTGGTTTTGGAGAAATGCATGCGAGAGACTAACACATATTCATAGTACACACACACAGTCATGCAGCTGGATCTTGTGGGAGAGCCAGCTTATGAAGATGGTATGAATGATAAAGGTGAGGGAACATACAGGGGAGGTAAACTGAATGAGGAGAGGGCAGTCCTAGGAAATCTCCCAATCTCTACATCAGACTATGAAGCCAAAACATTAGGGTATGAAACCTGATTATTTATATGCCTGGGTCTTGGCAGGATATCAGAAGAAGAATTAGTATTCAATCACCTCTATCCTCACCAGTCTGACCTACCCTGATTGAGTGGGTGGAAGGTGAATCTAACATGCGACTAGCAGATCTCTCTGGGAAAGAGTGGGTCAAGAGGGAAATCATGCAGAAAGGCAAGGTTGGGTAGGGAAGACATATGGGTGCTATGGTGGCTGTCAGGAAAGGAGAGTCCCTGAAAGGACGGCCAACCTTATTGCACCCTGCAGCGTCCGGAGCTGGGCAACCATGTCCGAGAGACAGTGCTCCTGAAAATTCAAAACAGCAGAGAGTCTTTATAAAGCCAGCCAGCCTGAAAGCAGGGATCGGGAGGGGCACAAAGAACCACCCCTTCTTCCCAAGAAGGAGGAGAAAGAAATCACCTGTGAATCCTGGAAGAAAAGAGACAGGAAAACCAGACACTCAACAGGAGCAGCCTATGTGAGGATGGAACACAACCCTGAATATTCTGTGACACTAAATGTGACATTCACACTGTCCAGAGTCAGTACTGAATCCAAATATGGAAAATAAATGATTTGACTCTTCTATTTTTTAGTGATCTGAACATCAGTAACACTGGATCAAAGCAAAAGCAAAAGATCCAATGAAACAAGGACCACCAGAAGAAATGGTTTGTTTTTTCTACGCAGCTTTCAAGATTGCTGCTTCCTTCAACCTGTGTCCTCTGTTGGGGAAAATTTTGTGTGAGAAAAGGAAGGCTGTGCACTGTCTCTCACCTGGTGATTTTCATTTTCTATAGGCATCTTCTTCTTCTCAACAGTTTGATCTCTAGGAGAAGATAAAAGTGCTATTTAGTTTACTCGTGAAACTTCTCAGTTTGAAATGGATTACCAATTGTAGATTTAGGTTATAATGTTCCTTCCAAATTAGAAATACTGTGAGCCTCATTGAGTGACTAAGGGTGAGATTTTCAGTGCCCCACCAAAGAGCAGAGGGAGGGGGGAAAGAGGGGGAGGGGGAGAGAGACTAAAGATAATCACTAGTTGAGATGTTCAAGAGATGGTTAGAAGGAATAAAGAATTAGGAGAGCAGAGAGGTGAGGAGGGAAATCACTAGGAAATAAAAATCATAAATAAATAAAAATCTCTCTTCTCAAAACTCCTGTCCTATTTAGGAAGGGTCAAGCTCCTCTACTGTATGATATAGTAGCACCATCTCATGTATACTCAACTGTTTCTTAGCTTTGCTCAAGTACAGGTCTTCATCAATGAGTTCTTGTTCCTCTGGAACAGAGCATCTCCTGCAGTACAGAGAAGACATCATCTTTTGGAAGCAAAACGTGTCCTTTGCTTTTACCCTTTTCTTTCCTTACAAATATGACAGGCAGGTTAACAACCGTCTAATGTTACAGAGTTCGGATTCCATCCATGTTACAAAACCTTGTTATATGTAAATCATGAGGAAGAGAATTTTAGGAGTAAAAACTGAGGGGAATACTAAAAAATTTATTCAATGGTCAAAAGTAATCCTAGAAACAAACAAAATTAATAACAATTGGAAACTATGCTACAACCATTTTATAAGGAGGTACAGTGGCCTGGAAAGCTGTATCTCCTGGACTAAGTATAAACAGACAGGAGATAAAGTATTCAAAACTGACACTTCCAAGTACTCAGTTCCATATTCTAATCACGCAATCCCATTTACTCTCCATAGAAAGGCAGCTAGGCATATCTGGAGACTAGGAGAGAATGTCTTACATATTATGGACCTAGATTTTCATCTATTTAATTTCCCCCATTTTAGGCATTTCTACCCTAAAATGTATATCCATTTTAGCACCTTTTTTCTATCAGCATTTATCCTGCAGAAAAAGAATTTTAAGAAAGTCACAGCTGAATTAAAGTCAAATGACTTATTATTATAAAACTTTATGACTACTGAGTCAAATAAAAAAACTATTATATTAAAGTCAATGCCCATGGATATGTCAGGCACTATTTAGATGTTGGATGTTGCATATGGTATATTAGGAAGACAAACACATAAACAAACAGCACTGAATGTACAATAGTTTCTACTGTATAATTGATTCCATAGACATATGAAGAAAATTATTGATCCAATCTGGAATATAAATACTTTTTTCTCAAAGAGTTTACAATCTCACAAAGAACCAAAGCATACCTATATGAAAAACAACTAAAAATACAAAGCAGTATGTGAACAAACATCAAGTATCAAATACCATAGGAAATGAGAGTAAAATCACTATAAACCATGGTCAACAGAAAAAACATCACACAAAAGACTTAAGCTCCCTAGGTGGATATGATTGGCTACACAGACAGATATGATTTGCTACACAGACAGTCATTGCAAGCAACAGGAAAATGCTATCAAAGTCATCGAGGAGAGAGTAAGCATGGCATGTGTGGGGAAGTGAAGCTACAGGCCGGGCTCAAGTATAGGGTTTGTGTTTAAGATGCAATGAAATATAAAGCTGGATAGGTCAGGGGCCAGTTAGCATTAAGGGTTTGAATTCCAGGCTGAAGGGTGTGGACTTGAGATGAAAAATGTTTTAGAAAATAGAGACAAATCAGGAGTTACATTCAAGCATAATACTGAGTCCTGGAACCTTACCTGTACTTTGGATGGGAATTATAATAACAAAACCATCTTGTAGGTAATGAAGACGGATCAACGTTGCCAGGAAGCTTCCTCCATTTAAGACACTCATCACACTGTACCCATGTCTGGTCAGGAATCTTCCTGAATGAAGGAAAACAGAAGTGTGACTGTATCCCAGCTTTGTGCTTTTGTCTTATTAGGTGGTAGCTAAAATAAAGAACTATTATAGTATAGTATTATTATATACTATATATAATGTGTTAAAAATGTTATAGTCTAGGTGCCTAAAATGTATATATTTTGAACTAAACAGATAAAAATAATAATAGAACTAAATCAGATATGGATATGAAAAATAACAAGTATTAACATGGTGAGCTGCCATTATTTATAGAGGTCAATATTTATCCTGGAATCTCTTGCTCTAAGCAAACAATAGGATAATTTTAACTCTAAAATTTATTAACTTGGAAAAAAATTTTTATATATGTTACTTTATTACCAAGAAATAAAACCCATAGAACTATTTTATTTGCTTCTATCTAATCATGTAACAAGTTTAAAATGCATTTATGGGAGTCATTGAAACATTGTCATTAAAACGTCTCCCCCATTTCCCTGCAGAGACTCCCTATTTCTCTTTACTTTTTGCTCTCTCAAAAAAACCTTTGTTTATAATATTTACTTTTTTTCTCTTTTTTGAGACAAGGTCTCTTGCTCTTTTGCCCAGGCTAGAGTACAGTAGTGTCATCATAGCTCACTGCAGCCTCAAAGTCCTGGGCTCAAGTGGAGTAGCTGAGACTACAGGCGTGCACTACCATGCCAAGCTAGTTTTTCTTATTTTTGTAGAGATGGGAGTTTCTCTATGTTGCATTGGCTGGTCTCAAACCCCTGGCCTCAAGCAATCCTCCCACCTTGGCCTCCCAAAGCGCTGGGATTACAGGCATGAGCTACCACACTCTGCCTTGTTCATAATATTTCAATCAAAATTGTACTAGTTTGATATTCCCAAAGTTAATCTTAAAAAGTAATATAAATTGGATTAAATTTCATAACTAAAAATGGTGGCTCCAGACCAACAACTGGGTTAAAAATGATTAAGATAAAACTCTTCTAGAGTTCAACTCTTAAAATGCATACCCACTCCCATTCCCCACCCCAGACAACATAACCCAGTCACATACACCTTAGAGTGAATTTGTTTCTCTGTGAAAAAAAGATGGCCTTTTTTTGGTAGAAGTAGTCCATACCTAAGGTGTAAAAGGCAGGCTGAAGTGGGAAGAGGGAGACTAGAGAAAAGGTACACAAAGCAGGTAAAGGGGTACCTTGGCCAATTTCACTAATATTATTTTTTAGCCTAGGATGGGTTTTGTATATGCTACATTTATTCTGCTCTTATTACTAGATATCTCAATAGAGGGGTGTGGTTCTTTTAGGTCTTAGTTTTAATAATTTTCTTGTGATCTTAAATAGTGCTTTTTTCTAAAGATTAAAGTAATATAAGCTCACTATGGAAAAACTAGAAAATACAGAAAGATATGCAGAAAAAATAAAAGAAACTCATAATTTTACCACTCAAATACAATACCCTCTTCTTTAATAAAACTCTGTTTTAACAGAAATTAAAAAGTTTATGAATATTTTTGGATGTACAGCTTCCCATCTCCTAGCTCCAGGCTGCTCCAGCCTTGCAACCTCTAAGCTTTAAGCTCAGGTCTGACCTCTGGTGTCTACATATTTCTAGACAGCCACCGTTTTACTTAGAGCCAGAGCCAGCAACAAGGAGCTTCAGTACTAGCGGCAGGGGAGAGGAAAGGTCATTATTAGCTTTGGTTCTACATACATATGCACAGAAGTCTCTTGCAAATGCCAGTATTATACTCTTAGTGAGAAGCACACTGCCATGCAGACCATGGTAGATCCTTCAATCCAGGCAGATAAAAGAAGCTTTTAACTCATGCTTACAGTAAATAGGTAGTTGAAGAGGCTATACTATTTAATATATTCCCTTCATTGCATCCCTTGAGAAGGATATAGCAGTTAAGAATTAGGTTTGGGGAACCTGATTGGCTATATTTGAACCTTGGCTCTACCACTTCCTACTTGTCTAAACTTGGGCAAGTTCCTTAGTTTTCAATGTATCAGTATCTACATCTACAAAGAAGTAATAATAGTATCTATTTCATAGGGTTGTTGTGATGATTAAATTACTACACATAAAGAACTTAGCATAATGCCTGGTATATAGGTACTCAAGAAATATTAATAATAACCATGATTACAATTCTTCCTCCAGTACACACACTTTCTCACGGTATGTAAACATCTGTTTCACTGCATTAATCATTGCTAATCTGAAAAGCAAAAAAATGGCATGATCTTAATTTGCATTTCTTTGAAAACCATAGAGGACAGACATGGAACTGAGATCTTTAGAATAAGAAGATGTTGATATACATACAGCCATAAGGTTGCATTTGAAACAAAATTTTATATCATACCTTTGTCTGATTTCTATTTTAAAAAACCAGTTGGTTACCCTAAAATGAACTTTTAACACTCGAATCTTTGTCTTGAGAGCGGTGTAACTGACTATATATGTGTTCTTATACAATCTAGCCTCTGTAGAATGCTCCTTTTCTGACTTACTGAGGTATGTCATCCTGTTCTGTGTGTAATTCCCTGTCTTAGATTTGATAAATTCTATCTTTTCTATAAAATTTTAGGTTCTTTATTTCTACTCTCAAATAGTGAATATTGTTGGAACAGTCCCAACAATGTTCATTAAAAATAAAGGGAATACAATGTCTGAACACCTACTTTATGCCAGGTACTGTGCTAAAAATGTTATGTCACCTAATTTAATATTAGGTGAAGTAATTTACTAAGCCAAGCACACCCAACTATTAAGAAACAGATCCAGATTTTCAACCCAGGAGTGTCTGATTTAAATGGCCATTATCTTCCACTATATATCATACTGTCTGTACTAAACTGACAGTACTAATCTCTTTACATTTATGATCCAAACCATACAACTGTTAAACCAGAATGAAGAGGTTTAGAGAATGATGCAATTAGTGCCTATGAGTTCCTATCTTTAAGTTAATTAAACTTCCAGATGTGAAAAGCGCCATCTTACCCTGGTTCCTTCCATTTGATTTATGGACATTACCTCTGACACTTTTTTTGTTTGTTTTTGAGACAGAGTCTCACTCTGCTGCCTGGGCTAGAGTGCTGTGGCGTCAGCCTAGCTTACGGCAACCTCAAACTCCGGGGCTCAAGCAATCCTTCTGCCTCAGCCTCCCGAGTAGCTAGGACAACAGGCATGAGCCATCATGCTCAACTAATTTTTTCTATATATACTTTTAGTTGTCCAGCTAATTTCTTTCTATTTTTAATAGAGACAGGGGTCTCGCTCCTGCCTCGGCCTCCCAGAGAGCTAGGATTATAGGCGTGAGCCACTGCGCCCGGCCTCTTTTTTTTTTTTTAATAGCCAACACACATTTTTATGATTCTTTTCTTTTAATTTCAAGATATTAAGGGGGTACAAATTTTTTTTTATAAGAATACCTTGTATAACACTTAAGTCGGGGCTTTTAGTGTACCTGCCACCAGAATAGCGTTCACTGTACCCAATAAGTAAGTTTCTAATAATTGGGAGCTAAACAATGGGCACACACAGGCCCTGGTACTTTCATCTTCTATATTAATTACTCACGGTATTGGTCTGGCTATGGCTGAGGCTTCAAAATTCTCTTGAGATGTTTTTTCCTTCCAGTAAGCATTGAGCTTCTGGGCAAGGGCATTTATTGTCAACCTGAAAGAAAATGCAAGAAGTATGTCAAAGTTCAGCACTTAGGGAACAATGTTTCAATCTTTAGGAAGCTCCCATTTAAGAGAAACCAACAATTTAGTAAATTTGGTATAGTTTTGAACACCTACACTTTAAGAAACTAAGACGGGAATCCACGGCCTTTGAAAACTACATGTCGAAATGATAAAAGTCATAATGTTGAATAGTCACTTCGATTGAAAAGATGAAATGGTCACAAGTACTAAAAAGTAGAGTTCTACAAATATTCCAGGCTTGCTGAATCATGGAGGGAGTAGATAAGTTGACATCACAGACTATGACAGAGGACCAAACTGCAAAGCTAGGACTGGGCCAAATACTGATAGGTTGATTGTCAAATGACTGCAGGTAAATAATTCAGGAATAAGATGAAGGTCAAAAGATCAAATACTGCACCCTATCTATTATAAATAAAATAATAACTTCAATTTGTCTCTATAGTTTCTCTTCATCCAAAAGCTGATCAAAGCAGTTAAAGTACCAATGGACAACAAACACTCTGCAACATTCTTATTGCACAGCTGTTGCTGGCTCTTGCTCTTTCTCCTTTACCTCCCTTCCCAAATGAACTACAGTAGACCCAGGGTCAACAACAAATTTAATTTGTAAAAGTCAAAGCCTAAATTTTACTTGTAAAAACTGCCAACTTTCTAATTACTAATTCCTATTTAATTCTACAACCCAGGATTACAACTGAATGTAGAGCTATACACATCTGGAATACTATAAACTTAGAATTTAGAATTTTTTTTGAGACAGGGTCTCACTTTGTTGCCCAAACATGAGGGTAATGTCATGATCATAACTCACTGCAACCTCAAACTCCTGAACTCAAGTGATCCTTCTACCTCAGCCTCCCGAGTACCTGGTACTACAGGCACACACCACCATGCTCAGCTCATTTTTCTATTTTTTTGTAGAGAGAGGTCTCACTATGCTGCTCAGACTGATCTGGAACTCCTGGCCTCAAGCAATCCTCCTGCCTTGGTCTACCAAAGTACTAGGATTATAGGCATGAGCCACCATGCTTAGCCAAGAATTTAGAATTTTTAAAATTTCTTAACCTCCTAGATTATTCCGCAAGAATTCTGTAGAGCTCTTCTCTTTTTAACAGGAACTCTTCCTTTCCTCTACCTTACTTATATTAAATTAGATTCTCACTACATAGAAAAGAATAATCATATATGAGCTCCTCTATAAACTACTATTCCCCTTCAATCTGCCAATGTTCCTACCTCTATGTTTAATGTTTATATCCTTCCCTCAAGTCAGATAAAGAACTTTTCTTTGTTTTCTCTTAAACTCTACTTTAAAAAGAAGTAAGTTATATGGGCTTCTGGGAAGATGGCAAAATATGAGGCATGTGGAATCTGTCTCCTTACCTAGATAACAATTGCACTGGCAAAATCTGCTTAATGTCACTATTTTGGAACTCTGGGGTTGATTGAAGGCTTGCAACTTCCAAGGGAAGGCTTAGATGCTAATTCGTGGTGAATAATTTTGATCAATTTCAGTTTTTAGCCCAGTAGCAGCTACCCATCTCCTAACCCTGTGCCAGGCAGCCCTGCATGTGTTCCAAAAGCAGCTTGTAGGAGCTAGGATGGGCAAAAGGGATATTGTGCTCCAAATATTGTAGATTTGTGCTCTGATCACTGATTGCTGCTTCTGATCACAGAAGTGCAGACAAAAAGGCAAGCAGCCATTGTATACCTCCCCGCTGTTTTAAGCTGCTTCTTCTCCAGTTGAAATGAATCCAGGGGATTCAAAGGCCTGGAACCTTTTTTGTCCTCCTTCATTTCTCTATTTTTTTTGCCTTTTGAGAGCCATACATAAAGACTAGCACATTCAAAAGCAATCACATATATGGGGAAAGTTAGAAAGTCAGTATGAATGCCCAGGGAAAGAAGCAGGCTCAGAAAAGAAGTGAGAAGATCTTAAGTTTACTTCTCAGGTTGATCCTCAACACAGAGATAGCCTACAACAATAAAATAAAAGCACAACGAAAAAATAGCAACCCCTGAGAAAGGAGGAGAATCTGATTTCCAGAGTTACCATATTATTAGATTCAAAGGTCCAGTTTTCAACAAAAAAAATCACAAGGGATACAAAAGAAACAGGAAAATATGGCCCATTCAAAGGAAAAAAAGAAACCTTCCCTGAGAAAGACCTGATAATAGGATCTACTAGACAAAGACTTTAAAATAACTATCTTAAAGGTGCTCAAAGAACTAAAAATGTGTAGAAAATCAAGAAAACAATGCATGACAAAGTAAAAATATCAATAAAGAGATAGATAACCTAGAAAGAAACCAAAGGGAAAGTCTGGAGCTGAAAAGTATAAAAATGGAAATGAAAAAAACACTATAGGAATTCCAAGGGAGATTTGATCAGGCAGAACAAACAATCAGTGAACTGGAAGATAAGAAATGGAAATTATTGAGTCTGAGGTACAGAAAGAATAAAAATCGAAAGTGAATAGAGACTGAGGAACCTATGGGACACCATTAATGGTCCAACTTATGCATTGTGGAGTCCCAGAAAGAGAAGAGAGAAAAGACAGAGAGAACACTTAAAGAAGTAATGGCTAAAAACTTCCCAAATTTGACAAAAGACATGAATGTAAACATCCGAGAAGCTCAACAAACTCCAAGTAGAATGAATTCAGACACATTGTTATCAGAACCAAGACACATTATAATCAAACTGTCAAAAGCCAAAGACAAAGAGAAAAATCTTGAAAGCAGCAAGAGAGAAGCAATGTATCACATTCAAGGGATCCTTGGAGTTTGTAACTCCACTTTTTGCTTTCTACATGATGTAAGAAAATACATTTAAAAGAAAAAAATATGAGTCTAAAAGCTAGTATTATGGTAACTTTAGTCTGTAATGCTACCTTTGTTTTCTACATAATTTAAGAGACTCATAAATTAAAAATTACTCATGATTTTAGACACACAATATATAAAGATGTAATTTTGTGACATCAACAACTGAAAGGTGGTGATGGAGCTGTTAAGCTATTAAAGGAACAGAATTTTTGTATGTATTGGAAATTAAGTTGGCAAAAATTCAAATTAGAGTGTCATAACTTAAGGATGTTAAATGTAATTCCCATCATAACTACAAAGAAAATAGCTATAAAATATATACAAAAAGAAATGAAAAAAGAATTTAACTGTTTTGCTACAAAAAAATCAAGTAAGCATAAGACAACAATGTAGGAAATGACAGACAAAAAAGCTTTAAGATACATAATAAATAACTAGCAAAATGACAAAACTCTCCTTATCAGTAATTACTTTAATACAAATGTATTAAGCCCAGATTCACAAAGATGTGATATAATGAAAAGGAATGTAGCAGATTTTGGTACCTGGAAGTGGAGTGCTACTATAATAAATATTTATTAACAAAAATATGTAAGTGGCTTTGGAACTGGCAATTAGTAGAGGCTGGAAGAATTGAGGACGGTGACAGAAAAAGCCTAAGTTGCCTTGAACAGACTGTTAGTAGAAATACAGATGTTAAACACTTCACTGGTGATGGCTCAGAAAGAAGTGACAAGCATGGTAGAGAAAACACAAATTGCCTTAGAGAATACTCAAATCATTGTGAACAGACTACTGGTAGAAATATGGATGTTAAAGATATTGCTAGTGAAGGCTCAAAAGGAAATGAGGAGCATGTTTATTGGAAAACTTGAGAGAAGGTGATCCTTGTTACATAATGGCAGAAAGCTTAGCAGAACTGTGTCCTACAGTTATGTCAAAAGCAGAACTTGTAAATGATGCAACTGGATATTTAGCTGAGATCTCCAGTTAAAGTGTTACAGGTGTGGACTGGTGTCTTCTTGCTGCTTATGTAAAATGAAAGAGGAGAGATAAATTGAGGGAGGAATCATTAAAGAAAAAGGAACTAGGACTTGATGGTTTGAGAAATTCTCAGCCCCTCCAGATTATAAAAGATGCTAAAATTTAGGAAAGCATGCTCTAGGGAAAAAGAGACAGTGATATTGGACAACCTTTTGCTAATATCTTGGAAAAATCTAAAGGTCAGAGTATTCAGTCACAGAAAAGGATCTTTGAAAAGATTAAGCATGTGACTCACAGATCTCCATAGCTAACTAAGCTGAAGCCAAGAATGATATAGAATTATCTAGGAAAGACCTGTCAAATCCCTCTTGTTGGATGGTGTGAATATCCATTATATACATGGGAGACCTACAAAGTTCTTAGAATGGCACAATAACATAAAAACTTCTAGCTTGGACTGAAAGAAATGGAAAGAACATAAAATGAAAGAATGCTGTTGGACCTTCAAAATTCTACAGTAAGAAAAAAACTGGATGATGAAACTACTCCACTGCAAATACATGAAAAAAGAAAGATGACTTTGAGGATGAAACTGTAAGTGCAGAGGGCAAAGCCTCAAGACTATAGGGTAGAGGCCTTGAAATTTAATGGAATTTGACTGGCTGGATTTTGAAATTGCTTGGACTTATGACTCCATTTTCTCTCCCATTGGAGATAACTAGAATATATATAACTAGTATTCTATGCCTGTCCCACCACTGTATTTTAGCTGTTAAAAATAAAAGACATATCCACAGATGGAGAAAAATTTTGCTCCAAGATGCATCATGAATATGTTAACATAAATATGTTAGGTTACACAGCAAAGAGTAATTAAGTAAATAAGGTTACTCATCAGCTGACCTAAGATAACAAAATTATCCTGAATTATCCAATGTAATCACAAGGGTCCTCAAAAATGAAACAAAAGAGTTAGAATCACAGAAGGAGATGTGATGATAGAAGCAAGGTCATTGGAATGACGCAACGTGAGGACTTAACCCATCATTGCTGACTTTGAAGTTGAAGGAAGAGGGCCATGGACCAAAGAAAGCTGGCAGCCTCTAAAAGTTGGAAAAGGCAAGGAAATAGATTCTTCCCTAGAGGCTTTAGAAAGAAATGCAGCCCTGTAAACACCTAGATTTTAGCCCAATGAGATCAGTGTCAGACTTCTGACCTACAGAACCCTAAGATAATAAATAAGTGTTGTTTTAAGCCACCAATCTTATGGTAATTTGTTATAACATAAATAGAAGAAAAACTTCTATTGTTTTTAGATAGCAGTTGAATATCATTGTATTTCCCTCAAAAATGTAAAATATCTCATGGCTCCCCTATGATTTCATAAGGTGTAGCTCAGCACATAGTTCAGGCAGCAGTGGTTCTAGGACAGGGGTCAGCAAACTATAGCCCGGGGCCCAAATCTAGACTGTTGCCTGTTTTTGTAAACAAAATTGTATTGGACACAGCCACACTCATTCCTTTACTTATTGTCTATGGCTGCTTTCATACTACAACAGAATTGAGTAGTTGTAACAAAGACCATATGGCCCACAAAGCCTAAAATATTTGCTTTCTGGCCCTTTTCAGAAAAAGTTTGTCAACCTCTGCTCCAGGATATGGTCCTACTCTCCCTATCTAACTTGCTTTGCCTTCACTGCAGTTACATCCCATTATCCCCACTCCCCATATTCTTACCATTCTGAGTTTCTCTTACTACTTTAGTTCATGCTACAATTCCATCCTGGGATTCCTTTCTCTTTCTTATAAATGTTGTATGTTTAAGGCACATCTCAATTCTTACCTTCTACCTAAAATCTTCCCTATCTATTCTATCGGGGCATTTTTCCTATACCATACCACTTAGGTTTTGATTGATCAAACAGACATTTTATTGTTCTCTAAATTGTTCATACATGGGACAATCTCTTATTAGAAACAAATTGTAAGCTCCTCAGAGACAGCAACTATGTCTTGAATTTCTCTGGAAAATTCGACAAAACCTAGACACTGTGTTATATACCAGTGGAGAGCACAGTTAATATGTGTTGATTGTATTTAAGCTGAAGTTCACTCTAAAAATGTTTTAAGTTTGAGCCCTGAGAGTTGTAGCTGAAATATGACATCCACAACTGCTAAAAGTGATATTACACATGATTTATTTGTAGACATTCTAGCAGTATGATGGCTGGTATCTCTGATATCATTTGCAGTTTTAATACCTATAATACTCATAGAATGAGTTTGTGATAGCAGACAATCTTCTCTAATCCCTCCCTCAAATTCCTATATTTTTAAATCTGAACACCTTTTCATTTTATGAAAAATAAATTCAGTAAAAAAAGGGCAACGGTGGTAGAACTGGGACAAGAGTTATGCAAATTTATTGTGCTCAAAAGACTGTATGCAGGATAGTATACTAGCGCTCCATATTTAATAAAACATGTAGTAGACACTAAGCTACTTAAACGAGAAATCCTGTATGTTTAACTGAATAAATCTATTGTCTAAAGACTATCTCTATTTGGATCCACTGCAATGACCTCAAACCCATCATACCCAAACTAGACATCTAATGCCTCTAAAATTTAAAGGGTAGATTTGAGGTGGGGTGGAGAGGGTGGCAAAGATGAGATAAAAAGATATTAAATAATTTTTAATATCTAAGATTTGAATTTCATAAATCTGTACTATTTAGATAATCTTCAGAAATTCACTATTCCTTTCACTCACAACTACTTGGTTCTGAGACTTTTGTCAAACTAATGTCATTCCTACGTTTTAATTCTTAAGAGTCTAGTCCTAGTCAAAGATTTCTATTATGAACGAGACTCATATTTAAATAACCATTTTACTTAGATTGAGGGCAGACGGTTGCCATAACCACTTAGCTTGAATGACCAACAACCAATTACCCTGAAATTACTTTGGGGTTGCCACTCAAATAGTTGTCTCCTTGTCAAACACTAAAACTAAAATTTTTATGATTCCAGATAAATTAAGGCACAAAAGTTAACTTTATTACAGTTTGGGGCAAAAAAGAGAGATATTTGGGAAATTACTTTTCTCCCACTCTAAGAAGAAAAATGCTACTGAGACTTCAAGGAAAATGAGAACAAATGTCCTCATGCCTCCTTTCTCCATATTCCCCAAACACTCCTTGCCCTATTGTGCCCTTTCATATACTTCCCTCTTCTTAGAATGTCCTTCCTCTATTTGTCTATCTAGAAAACTCCAACTTTTCCTTCAAGTTCAACCTCACATATAATTTGTTTTGTGAAGCCTTCCTTGACTCCCCTATGCATGTTTAAAGGTTCTCCCCCCTTTGCATATATCCCTCATTAAAGCAATTATTTTACAGGTATTTAAGTTTCTTATTTGTATACACCTCATTACACTTGTTCATAGACATCAAGGACTTTTATTTTTCATCCTTATGTCCCTAGTACTTGGCACATAGAAGCTATGTCATAATGCTTAATGAAAGAAAGACCCATCCCTCCCCAAAAGTTTTAAAACAAACTATTCTCACCTAGCTTTAACAACCCCTTTCTGTCTCCTAAAAATATCTCTACTGGTTCAGCCTAAATGTCAAGTTAATTTCTAATTATTACCTGTCTGTCCTCCCCATTAAATCTAGATGCTTCCATGAAAGCATAACCTCTGGTCTGGAATATGGCACTACTCTAACCATCTAACTTACTTTGTCTTCACTCCAGTGACATTCCATTATCCCCACTCCCCAAATCCCCACTCTATAAATCTGTCCACTGGCTTCAAAATATTTTTTTAGAACAAACTTCAAACTGCTTTCTTCCTTCAACATACTCAATAACTTCAGATCCATTCATCTCTTTTCATTAAGATCAATTCCAAGGCTCTTCGTTTCACCAGAAATATTTTACCAAATGACTCCCACAGGCTTTCCATAATTTCTAAAGGTAAGGCTTATCTCAGCTAGACTCCATATATCAAGCATCAGTAAGCTTTAATTTTAAAATGAAATAATCTTATCTCTATTTTTAGAATATAGATTTGAAGTAATTCTCAGTCAACTTATCTAACTGGTTTTTTAAAGATAGTTTTAGAGATTTTAGAGAATAGAATCATATCTGACAAACTATCAGAAGCACCTTAGGTTGGAAGTGACTCACCGGTACTCCTTAGTGTACTCAAAGTCTTGTTTGTTGTAGGCAGGTTTTAGGAAATTGCACTCAATGACTCCAATTACTCCCACACCTTCTCCACAAGTTGGCTTAGAAGAAAAATATTAATTGCAACACTTACATTACTGTTGACTGCGTGGAGGCATTTCCTTTTGATTCCAAACAATAATAGAAAGATTACATAATGTTTATGGGTAAGAAAAGGCTATCAAGATCTAGGGAAACATTGATAATATACTTCAATAGACTGTAACTATTACACTGAACTGGAAACTCTGACAAATTCTAGGGCAGAGATTTTTAAACTATGATCCATAGAGCCCTAGGATTCTTCGGGGATTAAATAACCATTTCTGTTTCACCCACACTACCTCCACTTTAATCTGCTTTATATTCCAGGATTGCCATAAGATTTCATTTGAATAATTATACTGCTAAAAAAAAATCAAGGTTATAAATTACTGTTCTAAAGAAATGAAATAAAAACTCATCTGAAAAAAACGTAAGAATGCTATGTGATCATCACATTGTATAAATTAAAATAAGCAATATTTCCATATACATAAGGCCACCAAACAACTACAAAATAGATTTGCAGTGATCATTAATTACAAGTTGATTTGAGAAGTTTTTGGATTTAAAATCATTTTTTTAAATTCTTTAATGGAAGAAACTAGCACACAAACACGAGTTATCTAAAGATGCTATAACAAGGAAATACAAGATAGGTTGAAAATTAGCTATCCTGAGCTTTATATAACTGTCCTACTATGTAACATAAAGCAGTTTACCATTCTTTGTTCTTTATTAATCTTATCTGTAAAGTAGGAATGAAAATGATACTTGTGAAAATTACTACTTTAAATAATCATTAAAATATTAAAGACAATGATAACATTTATATAGTTTGGTTTTAAAAATATTTTCAATGCCCAGAGGAAAGACCATGGAAGAACACAGCTGGAAGGCAGCCATATAAAAGCCAAGAGGAGAGGCCTTAGAAGAAATCAAACCTAATAACACACCTTGACCTTGGACTTCCAGCCTCCAGATCTGGGAGAAAATAAATTTCTATTGTTTCAGCCATCCAAAATAATAATAAAAATAATAAATAATATTTTCACATAACTTATCCCAGTTAAATCTCTCAACCCTGTAAGCTTTGAGGTAGGTTAAACAGGTAATATTATTATTGCTGTTTCCCTTTTACAGGTAAGGAAATCGAGCTTCAGATAAATTAAATGACTTATCCAAGGTTACACAGCTTATACATGGAAAATTCAGGACCCAAATCCTGGTCTTTAACCACTAAATTTTATTCACCTTCTACTATGCCTTATTGTCTCCCCAAGAAAATAGACAAAGCTACCTAAAACACTAATAGGCTGGTATACATGGTAAAGTTGCTGGTGTTCTAAATCTACCTCTTATTAACAGCTACTTAGAAAATGCATTTAGTAAAGTTCCTGGGTTAACATCTGTGAAGAATGAGAGGAAGAAAGAATTTTTCAACACAAGACAGCTCACTGGTAACACAGAGTTCCAGGATCAGAATTCAACAATCATCATAAGATGGGAGCAGAAGCCATTAATGAGCCTATCCCCTTCACAAATTTTAAATTATCTTCCTATTCTTTTTAGCCTCCTATGACAAAGAAATATTAACTACTCACCTTCACCTGGCATCCCACCTTCTCAAAAGACTTTATGAGTCGGTTGTTATGATACATCATTATTCCAAACTGGTTACTATTCTTGCAAGAGAATCCAAAAGTGATTCTCACTTGCTTATTCTGAGGAGAAAATCATTAAGGAGACAAATACACAACAGGAGCTTCAGCAGACAAAGTTTTGTACTATATTATAGCAAAAAAAAAAAAAAAAAATCAAACACCAATGGATATAAATTGGTGCAACCTTTCTAGAAAGCATTTTAAAACTCTGTAGCAACAGCTTTAAGAATATTCTTAACCTTTGACTAAGTAATTCTCTTTTAAGGAATTTAGCCTATAGAAACAGGGGAGCCCACAAAGGTTTGTGAGTTACAGAGATTTTCCAATTATTATAATAGCACGAAAAACATAAATCATTAACATGTTTGACATAAAGGAATGATTAAATAAATGTTGGTATATTCACATGGTTTACTATGGCAGTTCTTAAAATTACGTCCTTGAAAAAATATTTGAGAACATTAGGAAATGCTCAGATTATAATAACAAACATTATCTAATATATATATGTATATATACACACATGTAGAAAACACTATGAAAATATACCAAAATATCATCAGTGATTAAAAATTCATAAATAATCACAAAACATCTTAATCCTTGCTAGTTGCTCCATTTGCTGCTAGGGCTTACAGGTTCTTATCAGAGTTAGAAATGGTACAGTATGAATCTGCATGATTATATGCAACAAAGTTAAGTTCTGCTAACCATACAAAACATAATGAAAACAAAAGTAGCAAAAACAAAATCATTTTCAAAGATAAAGGACAATGAATAGTCCTGTAGTAATGTATTTTGTGAAAAGAATAAGCTTGGATAGATGAAATTAAGAAATTAATTATTGTAAGTAAAACATGAATACAGATGGGTTTTTAACAAGTCCTACTCAATTTAAAAACCAACGTAAAAGCAGGCGCGGTGGCTCACGCCTGTAATCCTAGCTCTCTGGGAGGCCAAGGCGGGTATATCGTTTGAGCTCAGGAGTTTGAAACCAGCCTGAGCAAGAGCGAGACCCCGTCTCTACTATAAATAGAAAAAAATTAATTGGCCAACTAATATATAGAGAAAAAATTAGCCGGGCATGGTGGTACATGCCTGTAGTCCCAGCTACTCGGGAGGCTGAGGCAGCAGGATTGCTTGAGCCCAGGATATTGAGGTTGCTGTGAGCTAGGCTAACACCACGGCACTCACTCTAGCCTGGGCAACAAAGTGAGACTCTGTCTCAATAAAAGAAAAAATAAAAACCAACATAAGTGAGAAAGATAAACGTGAGACAGAGAAACTGAGATTTTCATTAAAACAATTACTAAGAAACCTTCATGGCCAAATGAGTTGAATGAAAAGTTACTTTTATTACTTATTCAAAAAATGATCTTCCTTACCCCTCTAAATGACAAGTTACTGGCATCAAAACCATATGACAAATGGGCCAGTATGATACAACGGCATGATACAAGTGAGTACATAACATAGTAATGGTTGGCTCAGAACATACAATGTTCTGGGCTCCAGAGGCTCGAAGCAAATCTCAAATAAGACCTATTCCAACACAAACACAAAACAAAACTCCCCCATATAAACAAAACAAAATTCCATACCACAAAATTAACTTTTTTTTTTTTTTTTTTTTTTGAGACAGAGTCTCACTCTGTTGCTCTGGCTAGAACGCAGTAGCTTCATCGCAGGTCGCTGCAACCTCAAACTCCTAGGCTCAAGCAATTCTCCTGCCTCAGCCTTCATAGTAGCTGGGACTAAAGGCATGCACCCCATCATGCTCAGCTAATTTTTCCAGTTTTTTGTAGAGACGGGGTCTCATTCTTGCTTTGGCTGGTCTCAAACTCCTGGCCTCAAGCAGTCCTCCAGCCTTGGCCTTTCAAAGTGCTAGGATTACAGGTGTGAGCCACCATGTCTAGCCTGTACACTTCTAAAATTCCAAATTATGGGGTAGGGATACACTGGAGTAGGAGAGTCCCCAAATTAGTATAAGGAGAGCGAGCAAAGTAAAAAGAAGAGGCCTTTGATAATTGAGAAATAAGTTATCACCAATGATCTTGTTCCCCGATGACCTTGGGGGAAATTTTATTCAGAGTTTCATTCTACTCGTGCCTATAGTAAATCTGTTTGGTTTAATGAAATGAGACTGACAAGAGCTGAGGTACATATAGAATGTATGCAGAGGAGTTGCCCTGACAGAAACCCACAAAAGAAGTTATAGACAGAAATATGTTATATCCTAAAATAGTAGTTAGTTGTAAAGCACTTCTTTAGATTGGCTCTGTTAAACCTACAACAGTAACATCCTAACCGACATACAGTGATAGTACAACTAATGTACCTACAGATGCTAACAATGCTAGCTCTGGTTCTATTAACTTGGGTTTGTTTAGGACTTTAAAAGAGTTTCCTAGTAGACAAGATATGTGTTCCCCAAAAGGAGAAAACTGATCTGCTCATGAGTAAAAACTACATGGCTTTTAAAAAGGGGAGCAACAATTTCTCATTTTTGGTCAGAAAAAGAAAGACAAAGCAAGCTACACAGTGCCTTTGATAAAGCAAGCAGAGTGTAAACATGATTCACTCTGGTTTCTTGGGCCAAGAGTGGTGCCTTAGCTACTAGGAAATAAATTAAAAGAACATTTCTTCATAACTGCATGAGTTCTCAGCCTTTCAAAGATATTTTGCCCAAAAAACCATCAACAAAGATGCACCTAATTTCCATAGTTCATCTTAAGATTTTCTCTCGTATGTGAAATCCATTCCCAATGCAATTGAGGGTAGAAGTGAAAACGAGTAATAGCTCCTCTAAATAGTAGCTGCCATTATGAAAAGTACTAGGAATTCTATGTGAAACCTGTTGAAGATTATCTCACCCTAGGAAATCAACCTTTAATTGTCACTCTCCTAACGTCAATCAATGTAAGTCTAGACCTGTTACAACAAAAATCACACTATATCCAAAAGATTAACAAGTTCTAGTCAACATTTTGCTTATTTCAATCAACATAATATATTTAAAAATTCCAGTATAAACTAAATGATATGGATTGTTCCTTATGGCAGAGATTCTCAAACCTGGCTGCTCATTAGAATCAGCTGAGGATTTAAAAATAAATAAATATTTTTTATTATTAAAAAAAAAAGGATTTTAGGCAGGGCATGGCAGCTTGTGCCTACAATCTCAGCACTTTGGGAGGCCAAGGTAGAAGGACTGCTTGAGGCCAGGAGTTTGAGACCAGCCTGAGCAAAAGTGAGACTATCTCTCCAAAAAAAAAAAAAAAAGATTGGCTGGGCAAGGTGGCACGCATCAATAGTCCCAGCACTTTGGGAGGCAGAGGCCAGAAGAGGACTTGAGGCCAGTAGTTCAAGTTCAAGACCAGCCTGAGCAACACAGTGAGACATGCTGCCCCCCTCCCCAGGACCCCATCCCTACAGAAAAATTAGCCGTGCATTGTGGCACGCACCTGTAGTCATCCCAGCTACTTGGAGGCTGAGGCAGGAGGATCCCTTGAGCCCAGGAGTTTGAGTTTGCAATGAGCTATTATGACGCCAAGGCACTCTACCCAGGGCAACAGAGCAAGACTCTGTCTCAAAAAAAAAAAAAAATATTCAGAATCTACTGAATAAGAATCTCTAAAATCTCAGGACTCTATATTATTTTAACAGTTTCCAGGTGATTTCCAATAAAACAGGTATATAGATTAACATTTAAGAATTTAAGAAATACGTCCTTAGTGTACACCATAATAGGATTTGTACTGTAACACACATTTTGTAATTGGAGAAGCAAAGTTTTTATTTTTCTGTGTCAACCTGAAATGAAAAGGTCAATTTCATGTAGTTGCAAGGATACTGTGGAGGTAGGTTTATATATATCATATCCTACATTGGCCAGGCTCTTGGCAATTATCTGGGTAGTCACCTTCTTTTGACGCAGAAAAATTTTCATTCGTGGCTTCATGTATAGAATACCACAAAATGCCTATGGAACAGTGAAGGGAAAGTTATTATGTGAAATGCCAATTACTACTGACATCCCCATAAAACACTGCTAGCAACTGATGTCTATTCTGGGCAAAGATTTGGCTCAGTTTCTAAACCTTGTTACTCTATGTCAACTACCACACTGAAGTGCTGCTGACTATATTAGTTAAACTTTTCAGTAGGGACAGTGAAAAGGAATCCTATCAGAAGGTTAAAAGGTTGTCATCTTTATATAACTAAAATGAGATCCTGTTCTATAATACCTTTATGTTATAAGAAATCTTACCTCTCATTGTTGAAGATAAACCACTCTTACTTACCCGTAAAGAATATTCTGTTTCTGGTAGCTCAGAGGTAATACCACCAGTCTCTTTTTCTTCTGTGTCAAAGTCTGATACCAGGATGTCATATTGATCTGTGTCAAAGTCCAACTCAGACTTTCCATCTTTATTTCTGGGTAAAAGAGACAAGGACCAATCTAACAAAACTGGCTCCAAAGGACAAAAAATACACGAGGAACCCAAGAGAAAAGAAACAGGCTGGGCACAGTGGCTCACGCCTGTAACCCTACCACTCTAGGAGGCCGAGGCGGGCAGATCATTTGAGCTCAGGAGTTTGAGACCAGCCTGAGCAAGAGTGAGACCTCATCTCTACTAAAAAAATAGAAAAGAAATTAGCTGGACAACTAAAAACATATAGAAAAAATTAGCCAGGCATGGTGGTATGTGCTTGTAGTCCCAGCTACTTGGGAGGCTGAGGCAGAGGATCGCTTGAGCACAGGAATTTGAGGTTGCTGTGAGCTAGGCTAACACCACAGTACTCTAGCACAGGCAACACGGCAAGACTCAAAAAATAAAAAAAAATTTAAAAAAAGAAAGAATATGAACCAAAACTCAGGTATCTATTTCTTTCTGTGACTACCAATGCAAAGGAACTACAAACTACTTAGTTTGAGGATCACACAATATTTAAAGGTATTTCCATTCTAAACAAATTTACTATGTTTCATAGAGGTGATGATGCGAAGTTCATAAGGAAAGAAACAGAAAGAATGTGGAAAGTCTGTGATCTGATAAATCAAATGGAAGTCAGCTATCCTCAAAGCAGGATCTTAAAATAGATCCTAACTTTTCTCGGTACTGTTAAGTAAGTCACTCAAGATCACTTTTCCCCACTGAATAAATAGATGAATTAAAACCTGCTTCTATTAACTTCAGACTAATAAGATACCATGATTTCCCTAAATCTAATTTTATTTCTAGAAGGAAAAAAAATGTTATAAAAACAGCATATATTTACTAGTACTCTAGAATATTATTTATAGAATTATCACTTAAATATAATAACACTAATATTCCTTTCATAAGGACCTTTCATTCTTCCCATAATCTTTTTGGGCCACTTAGCTTTGGTCCATTCCAAGACCCTGAGCTATATCATTAACCACTGACAGGGGAAAAAGGTAAGAACCATCTTTGTTCCTGGAAAAAAACTCAAAAACAAATGATGGATTTTAGAGAAAATATATGTATCAGAACAATAGTTCCCAAAATTTGTTCTGTGAAACAGTAGTCCCTCAAGATGCTCTTAAATAAGAAATAAATAAAAGTTGTATGATTAAATAAAATTGAGAAATAATTCTTACCCTCAGAGTCACCTCATGCTCCAGCGATACCTCCCCCTCATCGTTCAGGCGTAAGCTCAGAGCTGCTGTGTTTAAAATGTACTTCCTTTTTCAGGGCTGGACCAGAGTCACTATGGTATATATAGCCTTATGAAGCCCATGTCACTGTACAATATTAATAACATATTCTGGATTTTCCAGGATAATCCTGATTCTTACTACTTCACCCCACCCTAATGCATAAACCCTAAGGTTCCTTGTCCTCCTTGTCCCTGTCCTTGACCTTCCCCCCATCTAAGAAAAAGAAGTCTGAAGAAATATGTTTAAAAATTGGGAAATACTACATACTATACTGCCCTCTTAAATACTTTTAATGCACATTAGTATATATATTAAAGTCTCTGAGAAGTCCTAGAATAAAACAGCATGGTAAACTTTGTTTAAACCAGCTTGTCCCAAATTTATTTGACCATGCAATCTTTTATTTATACAGGTTGAGTATCTTTTACCTGAAACACTTAGGACCAGATGTGCTTTAGGTTTGGGACTTTTTGTGGATTTTGGAATATGTGCATTATACTTACTGGTTGAGCATCTATAATCAGAAAATCGAAAACTGAAATGCTCCAATGAGGATTTCCTTTGAGCTGTTGTTTTGACACTCAAAAAGTTTCATATTTTGCAGCATTTTGGATTTTAGATTTTCAGATTAGGGGTACTCAACTGGAAATACCTCAGGAAAATGATCCTTTGTAATACAAATTATATTACTTGAGGTTTCCTCAGTAGGACACAGGGAAGATCTAAATTACCAATGTGTGAGCCATTATACATTTTTTCCTTTTTAATTGTAAGTACAGTACTCTCTATATAAATGGGGTCTCACCATGTTGCCCAGGCTAGACTCAAAGTCCTGGGCTCAAGCAATCCTCCCACCTCAGCCTCCTGAGTAGCCGGGACTACAGGTGTGCATCAGCTTACCAGCACTATTTTTATGTGAGTTTTACCCAGCTAAGAAATGAGACTAAATACTTGACCCAAGGAGAAAAGGAAGAATGAATATATCTGACAATCTGTTGTATTAAACATACCAGTAATACATCTATTTTATATTAAAGGTTTTTAGGTTTTGGTGTTTAGGTTTTAATCCACTCTTAAATGTATTCCATTCCACATGCCAAGATTAAACAAACGGCATATTATAGAGTATTTCTAGATTGTTTTATTAGTTCTAAAGACATGATCTTAGGCCAATCTCATTATAGTCAAAATTCATTTGCATCAAAGATTTTTCTACTTCTAATCCAGCTACTCTGAAAGCACTAATACAGAGGTCCTAATTTTTTATAGATCATGTTATTCATTGTTACTCTTAATTTCTCTTTCTCATACTTCATTTTCATTGTCAAATAGGTAAAATAACTATCATTTACCAATCTCAAAACAATGCCTATGAATATTAAATAGATATTTATAAAGGACTGAGTATCTTAGAATAATGTTGAACTGTCCTATTTACAGCAATAGCCTCAGGATATATGTTTCCACCTTAAATGTGCCACATTTTACCAATAAGAAGCATTATTTCAAACATAACTGTGGTTCTAAGAGAAAGTTATGGAAAGGTATACAATGAGATAGAAATATGTATCAAAATTCATCTACTCTGCTTCTCTAGAAAGACTTATTACAATGTGCTTCATCATACTACCTTTCCTTATTAGACTCTCTCATCCTTGGAATACTATACCTGCGGATGTTCCAAATGAGAACACGAGTGCCTTTTTTGCCTGGGATGGCATCAAACTGGGATAGCAGGTCATTTTCACTGTTGAAAATTGAATAGTTCAAGATGGCTTCTAGGCTGGGCAAGGAATCCTCAGTAACAATCATTTTTTGTAAAACCAAATATAGTCAAAGAAAAATTAGTATTGTAGGATATTATCGAGTATGAAGATCTGTTGGGTTGCATGTTTAGACAAAACTACGGACATAAAGCATGGGCATTATTGCTGGGAAGAAAGGAGAGGGGGAAAATGGAGAAAGGTTATAGAGACAAACACCCAAATCAGTTACCCCTGAAGAGTATAGCTTCAAAGATACAATGCAAACAAAGACCTATATTTAAGACAAAGATCAAAGTCTGAATTTTTAAACTCTTTGGAAGCAATGAGTTCAAACCTTGTTGCCATATTGTTCCAGTGAAGACAACCTGGTGTCTAACAGAAAAAACTATACATTATTAGTTATAGTGAAATGAGCTGTTTTATCAGATAAGCTGATAAATAATATGCTTCTAGGAATATGAATGCCGACATAGCTACCCTTAGGGGGGAAAAGGGGAAGGCCCTGGGAACTTTACCATGGGCGGGGGAGAGAGATATACTATATAGATCAAATAGCATGACAGTGAAAATTTCAATATAACAAAAGTGTTTCTAAGCTTCTGTCAATGACCCGCTTATTTTTCAAATATTTAATAGAGGACAATTCCAGTTCAATTTAAGACATTTGAATACCTTGTTATGAAAATTTTTGATAGCTAGATTTGACCTGAAGTGGTTCCTATCAAAATAGATTAGACTAATTTTTAACCAACATTCTCCATTTCCAGAAAGGATATTGTTTTGCTGGTTGAATGGAACTATTGGTACAATAACTGCCTGGGCCTGGACACATTCCAGATAGGTCTGTGACAGGAGTCCAACAGTGAGGGTACCCCCATTCTTGGTGAAGACAAGAGCGTCCTTTCCTAGCCGCATGGAGCCTGATTTGAAACCATTACCAAAGACCCCGATGGGACACTGGCTCTTCCGTATTTCTTTATCTGTAAAGCCAAAGCTGTAATTACAAAAGAAAAAAGAAATCAGGAAAAAAGAAATCAGAAAGGTAAAAAGCATCCTAAGATAGGTGACAAACAGAATGTTTGGCTTACAAATAAAGAACACTTGTAAAAAGTCTCTCCTGTTTTATTTCTTTTGGTATTTCTGGGAAAAACTATTAAGTTAAAAACATAGGAAATTACTATGGGGTAACGAGACTGATTTTCCTGTGTGGTTTGTGTGTACATAAATAGTTCCACTATGTTAGAGTCACACTTTGTAAATGTAAAGACGGCGCCTTTTCACTGGCTAACAGAGAGCTGGAGGTAGCCTTGGGCAGCTGCCTTTCTTGTCTAGATAAAACGGCTCTGATTGCTAGAAGTTAGGGTAAGGTGAAAAAAAGTACTTATCCTGAGAGGGTAACAAAAGTACCAGATGGTGGCACTGGTCAGAGGTACTAGACTAGGCAACTCCTAAACTGGTTATATCATCCTCCAGAAATCTGAAAGTCAGGGATCATATATCTTGACAATTTCAACTCTCCACTCAAAGGATAACCCTTCCAATTCTTATGCTCTGTTCCATCTGCTGGGACAGTTCATTGGAATAGAACCAAGGGATAAAAATAGGTAGTTCTGCCTCTGAATATCTGCAAACAGCTGCAGTATAACGTCTCTCTTGTTCTATTAAGGGCCTATCACTGAGTCACCTCAACAATCTCTGCAGTCCCTTATGATCAGCTTAATGTGGGAGCCAGAACCTTTCCTTTTCTTATATTTTCTATATAGATACACACCAAAATAACAGAACCTAAAAAAATTAAAGACATCAAATCTAGAAGATGATTATCTTCCTCTTATATAGTCCCTCACCACTGATAAAACTAATTTTAAGGATTGTTTCTCTCCAGGTTGACTAATTTTACAATGCTATATACTACCATTCGTTTGATATATATTTAAATTGAGCGTTTATTATATGCCATGCATTGTACTAAGCACTTAAAAGAGACATTGCGCATGATTCTTGCCTTCACGCTTTATAGTTTGAGGAATTATTTCACATATAACAGATTATATGCTTCTCAACATCAATAAAATAGATACTCTATAGGCCATGACTTAGCAGCCTGGTCTTGGCTTCTATTCTTTTCAGCAGAGTGGACCATGTGTCTGAGTTCTACTTCTTAAAGGTTGTACTTTTGTGTTTTCTCTCTAAGAAAGGAGGCCATCCTTTAATTTTCTATTTCAAAGTGTTATACAATAATACCATGTTTTCCCAGTGTAGATACTTTATAGGAACTCTGTGTATCCCACCACTAAGTCTAATGACAGAGAAAGGTAATTTCCAGGGCAGTGATCCTTTGAAAAAACCAGAAGAACATTGAGATTATGCTGTTTATGGACCTTAGTATTCTAGGAAATAGACTTATAAGTTGGTAAGATTCAGGCATTCTCATTCCTCTTGTGGAAGAATTTGCTAGAAGAAAACAGGGTTGATATGAGGATTAAATTATATACTACATGTAAAACATATTAATTATAAAGTAGTATTCAAATTTTAATTTTAAACTAACTCTGGAAGTCATTCTGAGAATTGTCATGTGCTATCCCCTACTCCTACTTCAGATTTAATGTCACATATAAAATGCAGGCCTCCTCATAAATTATAATAGTAATCTTACCTATCATTTGAAATGAATTTGTATGGCTAATTGGACCTAAACTTTCTCTAATACCACAAAAGCTTCAATTAGATGGTCAAGGGAAAGTGGTAAAAATAGGGAAATAATATTAATCCCTTAATTTCCTGGCCTCTTCTACCACACATCACCTCTTTTTTCCTTTTTAAGTATAAACCTTCATTGTGTTACTTACTTTGGGGAGACCAAATGACAGTATAAGGCTAAGAAGATAAGTAGTAGGGCAGGGCCAGGACCAGAATGGAAAAGAATAAGAATAGTGAGAAGAGAGGAGCTGGAAGCTCTAGGTTTTTTTGGTTATTGTTATGTTACACTTAACTCTTCCTATGTGCTTTTTTATTCTACCTAAGTTCCCATGTTAGGTATTCTATTTAACTGCAAATATGCATAATGAATGCCAGATACCAATCAAATAATCACCTAATTTAAAAGCCCTCACCATACATAGTAATAGACTTGTATTTTATATAATTTGATATAGCTCAATAGTTTTCCACAGAGCTATCGTGGCTTAGACGAGTGGTTTCTCTTCACTAAGTCAGTCCTGTTCTATCCTCTCCTGTAAAATACAACACTGTTTACCCACCAAAGGGGCTTGGATACCACCTCTTTGAGTGGAATCCAAGAATACAGCAGTTTGCTCTTGTGTACCTTAAAATGTCAAGAATCTAGAGAGGTAAATTTAAATTGGGACTCTGATCAATGAAACAAACCTTAGCAAAATCCATGGACATATAAGGGCAGGCACGGCTGTTTCCTAGATATAGTGGTGATATAATACATAATATAAGAGAATGGAAGACTGCTAAATAAACTGTTATTCTCTGGATGTTGTTTTAGAAGAATAGACCTACTAGGAAATGCACTTCTGAGCACAGGTAACAAAGACCTTCAATCTATGGCTCTGTGGCTACTGTTAATCCTCAACCTTTGAAAGAGATTTTCTACCTTGCTGAAAAAAGTCAGCTAAATATATAGACTAGCTGATTCAAACTCTATCCCCAGAAGCTAAATAAAATTAGTTGTGGACTGTAAAGGAATTTGTTGATAGGGTTTTCCTTTTTAATTTGATTTGCATGAGATTACATGTTTATGGAAGAAACTGTTGCTGCATTTACACAACTATTTTTTTTTTTTTAAGGCTGGTCAACTGGAGCAGTGGGAGTGGAGAAGGAACAAAGGAATGTGTAACTGGTTGTGATCAATTAGTTGTAAACACCACTGCACTCGGACCAACCTACACAACTTTTTTATCAGCCTGAAAATAGAAAAGAGTAGTATGAAGAGTTGGAAAATGGAAACAGAGTAACAACAAATGTTAGGGGTCAAATGGAATTTCTGTAGGCTCAACAATTTTGTATAATTACTTCTATTATTTTTTCCAAATACAAAAGTAATATGCCCACAAATGAAAAACAGAAAAATTAATATACCTAGTAATAATTTTCAAAGCTACCTTTAAAGTTCAATTATTTAAAAAGAAATTGTGATAAGTGGAATCCTTAGTTAGAAGTTAGGATTAGACTAAATGTTCTCTTTTAAATCAATGATATCTTCCTGCTGATTCAAGTTAAGATACAATTGCAAATAAAATACAGTACATATATTATTAATACTACATTAAAGACTCATTACAATAATTTTCTAAAATTAATTTTTAAATATGATGAACTTCCCAGTTCAAATTGGTGGGAAACATTTGGTATGGTAAAGGAAATGCAAGTTTCTGTTTCTTTTGCTCCTTGGGGAGAGAACAAAAGTTTCAATGGATGATACTAATCCTTCATATTTCAACTGCAATGTCATTTCTTCAGGGTACCCTTTTTTTGAGAATAGATTAGATCCCTCTGTTATATGCTCTCAAAGAAACTGTGCTCTTCCTTCATAGCATTTATAAATAGGATATAACTAAATAGGATAGCCTATTTAGTTATATTACTAGTAAATTCTTTTCTTTCTCACTAAACTGTCATCCATTTGAGAACAAGGATCATGTTTGGTTTACCACTTTCTCTCTAGTGCCTTGTACACAGGTACTCAGTAAGAATTTGTTGAATGAATAAATGAATGAATTTGTAACAAAAATTATTGAAATTATTTTGAAACCAACCTCCTCCTCCCTCCTACCTTATAACTACTAACTTTCACAGATGTAGTTCCATAAACAAAATGGAAGGTAATCAGATTTGCTGGGCCCACTATTTGACACCCATGTCAGTGGGATAAGGTGTAGTGGGAAGGCGTCATTAAGAAGATATGCAATTTTAGGAGGAAAAAAACTAGTATGTACAGAATTAGGTATAAATATTTTTGTTCCATCCATCTAGAATTCTGTTTTTCTTAATACATAATATTAACTTTAGGAGATAAAACTGATGGTGTAAGTTGAAAAATAAGGCCAATTCTCTACCTTCACCAACATACTAGTCATATTCTTGTCTCACTTCTAGAGGCTTTCCCAAAATAGTCTTCTAATTAGGAGGGTCTGAGACAAGGTAAACAAACTTCTGAGTGGTAAAACATAACCACTCAGTTCGCCCAAATTTCATTTTTTTTGATGGATCAAAGCTATTTCCCTATAAAACAGGGCTACTGATTTAGAATACCTACAAGGAGACTAACCAAATCAATTGGTTTTCCATTTTTACAGTTCTGAGCCCTTTCCCTCCTCCACAGCAACCCCCAATGTTATTCGTGCTTCACGCACTCTAGCGCAGGAAGCCACATGGAGAGTAATCAACCTCATCTGCTACAAATAGAGTAGGAAGGAGTTGAAGAAACACTCATCTTTCACTGAGTGATATGTGAAGACATTATACTATAAACTTATATTCTCAATTCACCCTTTTAAATTAATTAAATGAATTGAGTGGCAATAGAAATCTACCACCAGCAGCAACAGTTAGAATTTCCTAACTTTCCAATTCTACTGCAAAACCTTCAAAGATTATGTGTGTGAATGCCTTCTATTTATCTTTCACGTGGCTTGATTATACCTAGATACCTTCATGGTCTAATTCACAAATCATCCCAACTCAAATGCTTCTGATTTATGAGTGAGTTTAGGTTAATATAAATCAGAGAAGGTCTCAGACCAGTGAAGGCCTTCAGGTCTTTATTCTTGTTCTCTTTGCCTGAACTCTCATTCCTTGCTCCCTGTCCCTTTATCTAATTAAATTCTACTCACCCTTAGATCTTAGCTTATATATCATTTCATATAGGAGGCTTTTCCTAACCTCTGTGATCAGATTGGGTTCCCCTGTTGACTCATCCCATGTATCCTATACTTTCCTATCATTATGCTTATAGCTTTTTATTGATTATATGCTTAATTGTCTGAATTTCCAGCTAGGTTGTAAATTCTGTGAGGGCAGGAATAGTGTTTATTTTATAACTAGTGCCCTGACACATAAGAGATGCTTAATAAATATAAGTTGAATAAATAAAGGGAAAGCAAAATATTAAAGAAAACTATTAAGCCTTAAATAGGGTTCATGAACTCAAGATAAGAAAATGAAGACATTTTTACCTGAGCATTCGGTGTAGTTTATGAGGTGTCATCCCACATCCATCATCAGTAAAGGTCAAACAAGATTTACTCTTGACCTCCTCAACATCTATAAAGACCGTCCTGGCCGATACATCTGGATCTACAGCATTATCTGCAAAAGTAGAAATCTGTGATATTAGATCCTTTTTTTTTCAATATTCTATCAAAATCTCTAGTTCAGTGCCTCTAAGACATAGAAACTATCCTTTATTCACCTCACTTGGATGTCCCAGAAGGTGAGCATGGAGCATTAATGGTAGTGCACTTACTGAATTACAGAGAACAGATATAATGGCAGATGGGGTTACAAAGCTGATTTCCAGATTTCATATCACTGATGTGCAATCTGCCATTCTATCTTCAAACTTCAGGGTCTGTGGGAAAAGTATTCCCATATACAAAGCATTTTGCTCCATTTTTGTCTTATTACTTCTTTTTTGTTTATTTGTTTTGAGACAAGATTGCTGGTTAGAGTGTGGTGGTGTGATCACAGCTCACTGCAACCTCAAACTCCTGGGCTCAAGCGATCCTCCTGCCCCAGCCTCCTCAGTAGCTGGGACTATAGGCACACACCACCACGCCCAGCTAATTTTTTCTATTTTTAGTAAAGATAGTGTCTCACTCTTATTAAGGCTGGTCTCGAACTCCTGACTTCAAGCAATCCTCCAGCCTCAGCCTCTCAGAGTGCTAGGATAACAGGCATGAGCCATAGTGCCTGGCCACATCTCATTCCTCCTTATCTTTTAGCCACTTTACTCATGAACACATACAGTAAAGGGTAGCTACTGAGAAAAGTTGAACCAGCAATTTTAGTAAAAGTAGATGCATATTACATAGATTATAGTTTGTGATAATTTTATTTTCTACTTTTTTACTTCATCTCCTCTATTAAAGAACACAGATATTATCACCATTCCTGTTTATAGCCTAAGAGGCATTGAAAGAGAGGTTAAAATCAAAACATTTAATTTCCTTTCTAGATCTCAGGGATGGTAGCAAGCATACTTAGAAGGAGTGATTTTTGCTTAGGTATTTTGTAATAGTCTTAAAGGTGAGGCAGGCTGTCCATCCCTTATGAAACGAAGACCATAGAATTAAAGCAGAAAAAATATATAGAAAGGTTCACAATTCCTTCTGAATTATGTCTTCACAATGGGTTAATTACTTAAGATTCCAAAGACATCAAATATAGTCATATTCTAACTTATGCACCATGTCCACAACTCCAGGGATGCCACTGCCTAGTGGCCACATCCTTTTGCCACAGGCACCAATTTACTGTCAATCACTAACACCTGTGGCTCACTGGTCCCAGTGGAAGAACAGTCTGTACAATCTGTTGGCTACATTCCTTAATCATGCCTGTCTCTTTAAGGAAGACAGAATCCTTCCCTTCCACCCCCTTCCCTTTTCCTGACATTCTATACTGTTTTCCTGATGCCACATAACTGGGCTGAGAGAGCCAGGTGGTGTCCTGGTTGTATATACATCCCATTACTACTGATCAAATCATGGCATTTCTCCACTGAGAACATCCCTTACAATCAACAGAAGTATTACACATATTCAAAACATTCATCTTTTACAATACAATTAACAGTATCAGTTACAACCGCTTGTATGTGTGGGATGTCCATCAAATAAAACAAGACACAGATTAATTTCAAGGGCCACAATGGTGTTGTCAGAGTCATTGATAAAACTGTCACTGATTATAACCTGTACAAGTCTTAACAGCAGTATAGCATCACTTAACTCTCAGAAGGGAGTTAAGAGGTCTAATATAGTCAATTTTTTTTTTCACAGAAGGTCCCAAAGGAAAGTTTATTTTATATGGGTAGCAGCCACTTCTTCTGCTTTCATTATTATTTTTAAGGGACAAATAATAATTGTACATATTAATGGGTACAGTGTGATATTCTGATACATGTAGACAATGTCAAATCAGTATAATTAGCATATATATTACTTTAATCATTTATCATTTCTTTTGTTGGGAACATTCAAATTCTACTCTTCTGGCTATTTGAAAGGACACAGTAAATTGTCTTTAATTATATTCACCCTACAGTGCTATAGAACATTAGAACTCATTTCTCCTATCTAGTTTTGTATCCATTAACCAACCTCTGGCTATTCCCCTCCCCTTACCTTTCCCAGTCTCTAGTAACCACTCTTCTACTCTCTACTATAACTTTTTTAGCTTCCACATATTAGTACAGGCAGTATTTGTCATTCTGTGCCTGGCTTATTTCACTTAACATAATGTCCTCCAAACTTATCCATGTTGCTATGAATGACAGGATTTCATTCTTTTTATGGCTGAATAGTATTCCATTGTGTATATATACACCACGTTTTCTTTATCCAGTCATCTGTTGATGGATAATATAGTCAATCTTTAAGGACCAGGTGGAGCGTAAGGCCTGTGGAATATGGCAAGACAAATGGGCTAACTTTTGGCAGGAGTTACAAGTCTGGCATGCAATGGCAGCTTTATCAGAAATATAGTTCTTTACTTTGTTGAGAGGCAGGATTTTTTTTTCTGTAACTGACAGAAGGATTCAGCATTGTATAGCTGCATACATCACTTCAAGAAATTTTACTTGGCAAGCAGGCCCTGAATTGTGTTGGGATTTATCAATCCCACCTACTGGCAGACAGGCAAAGTCATTGTGACTGATATAAACTGTCAACTAACTGGACATCATTTACACATTTAAAACTTTGGACATAGAGGAATTTTTTCTAACACTTTATGGACATTCACATTTCAAACATGTCACACATATCAACTGCAATTACACATTTATACAACAGTACATTCAATAAATCAGCTGGAAGGCCTTTTGCAAAATCATTTTAACTCTTTTCCTCTTTACTACAAGTTTTACCCAAACTTTCCTAGGTACGTTTTTATAGGAACACAGCGAAGAGATTTAACACAGGCACTTCAGGAATTATAAGGTAGCTGCCAGGAGCAGCTAGATATTTTAGCTCCTTGGCTGGAAGCTCTTGGAATATAGGGGGGAGGGGACATGCAAGAGGCCGGGTCAGCTAGAGCAGCAAGGAAAAAGAGATCAGTGATGGGCACCAGCAACCACAGTTTTGTACTTACTTTTGGTTTTCCGTGGCCTTTACTTGGCCTCAACAAATGAAATTATACTAATAAGGTCGGCCTCAACATATGAAATTATGATAATAAGGGACCAATCTGGCAGCTGGTTTCAATCCTACTTCTTGCTACTTAACCCTCCAAAAATTTACCAACATGTAGCATATGCTATCAGATCCCAGGAAATCTATTTTTTTCCCCTAGCCCAGTCCACCCAGCCTAGGAACAGAAAGGACAATGAGATAACCCTTCCTTATCTCCCCTCACCCACCACTCAGGTGAGAGCTGCACTGTCAGATCCTGGAGTATCTTCATCCCCTGACCTGGCTGCACAATCCCACATGCTACCAGATCCTAGTGAGTCCTGGGATCCTAGTTAGGGGGTCCTCTCCTAATCTGGCCTGTTCTATTCCTTAGTGGGAGACCCTTATCTCTACTTTCACCTTGCCCGCCACTTGGGCAAAAGCATGGGAAACCAGATCCTGGAGAATCTTATCTTTATCCCTTAGTCTAGTCCATTTGACCCCCTGTCTTCTAAAAAAGCATTGTAACTGATGCCTCAGACCTCATCAGAACCTGGGAATCAATGAGAAACTATTCCACATCAGCCTCCCAGTCAGTCTCCTGGAGGATAGGATGGCAAGTGGGAAGACAAGGGCTTTGAGGTAGCACTTCACAAGCTTCTTATCCTTTTCTGTTCCAGTAGGATCACAAGGCTCCCATCCTCACCTGATCTCAGAGGACAGCCTATTTGGGCCAAGCAGTTGTCCTACTGGCATCCTACAAGTTATCTAAAAGTATTCCTGCCTAAAATCAAGGTCATTGAAGGAGCTCAGGAAATTTCACCCCAAAATATGACTCCTTGCTATAAAGAATATTTTGAATTAAAGGCCATTCAAGATAAAAAAAAAAAAGCATTGGAGGGGGCTTTCCTTCTATCTGCATAAACTGGACTGACCTGATCAAAAGATCAAAGGGGTAACTGACTTCCCTTCCTCTCCCTGTTATCTCACTGTATTGCAGGAAAGAAGATCAAGAATGCAACCAGACCTGGCAGAAATCATTTAAATATAATACCTATCTCTCAGGTTAATTGAATTTGCAAAGAGAATCATTTACAAGTCGATCTGTTTCTCCCATCCATTCATCCTCCCTCATACCACTGACTGCTCCTAAACAGAATTATCTGTACTTCTCATCTCCCCCTCCTCTCCAAAAGGACAGGTATAAAAAATATGAACTTCATGTGGATATTGAGTAATCACTCTGTAATTCTGTATGGTAGAGTTTACCTTTCAAGGAACATTTTTGGGGGGAGAAAGGAAAGGGGAAATTTCCCCTCACCCCCACATCATCAACCTCCCTCACAGGTCTATTCTTTTTCCTCTGTTCCACATCCCCCCACATATACACAGCACTGAAATGACCACAAGTTTGAAATTTAAAAGTCATTTTTTTTCTCTCTCCCATACTCTATACATCCCTTATGCTTTCTCATACCTTGCTTTTTCTATTCCCATTGTAATGCTCTTAATAAATAAATGCTCTTAGTAAACTCTTACAGAGTTTATTTCTTTCTCATCTGGATTATTGTGATAATCTCCTAATAGTCCTTCAAATCCAGGTCTCTCTCTCCTGCAATTCATCTTATACACTGCTACAAGATTAACTTTCTGGAAGCCCAGCTCTGATCATGACATTCCCCTGCTCAGAAAACTTTGGACTAAAAGGCCAAATACCAGAGCCTGCCAGTCACATCCTGATCCCAGATCACCTTTTTAACCTCATTTCCTACTTGGTACTTGGAGTGAAAAAAACCCATGTTTTAGTCCTGGATCTGCCACTTACTACACATGTAACCTTGGAAAAGTCAATTAAATTCGCTGAACCTCTGTATCATCATCTGCAGGATGAAAAAAATAATGATACTGTTTACCTCAATGGCCAAGTTAAAAAGGTATTTGTGAAAGTTCTTTGTAAACTTTCTAAGTACCTACAGATTTTACTATTTGTGAACTCTTTGCTCTAATTAAACTCAACCATTCAGTGTTCTTCATGCCTTTGTTCATGCAGTTGTCCCTTTTGCCTGGAATGCCCCCCCCCCATCCACATGTCCCAATCCTTCAAATCTCAGCTCAAATGTCACCTCCTCCACAAAGCCTTTCCTAACCCTCCTCTTCCTGATAAACTGGAAGTCATTCCTCCTTCCTCTAAACTCCCAGAGCACTTGTTTATATCTTTGTTGATATATCACTTCCTATTTTGTTGTTATACAAAACATAAACCTTCTGTACATATTTTATCTCTCCTAGTAGAAGAATGAATCTGTGTTGTATTCATTTTTGTACCTACTACAGTGGACTTGCACACAATGGGTGCTCAATAAATATTTACTGAATGAATGATTCACTCAAAAATTAATGCCCAAGTAGAAAAAAACTATTCAAGGAAAACCCAAAATGCAAGCTTTGGATTACCAGTTAACACTCTGCTCTCCCTTTTCCCTATTATTAACATTATCACAAATAGCTGTGGTTTGATTTTAAAATCTGTATACATGTGTGCATGCATGTGTATGTATAATACACATACACACTCGCACTCATATTGGACGTCTTAGGCCAGGCTTAGGCTCTTCAAGGTAATGCTTAAGTCAGAAATCACATATATTCAAAATTACAAATTGAAAACTCATTAAATCACCTATAAAATAAATTAAGCACAGGTACAGGTGGCTTTACACAGTTCAAAGGTGAGGGAACAATACATTTGTCTCCCATCCCCCACTATGTAAATTGTTGCTTTTTCCTCTTTAGGTCTGTCTTTTTTTTAAAAATTAAAGCACATAGATTGTATTATACTCTGCAGCGATTTGCCTGAGGCATAGTGCCAAACCTTAAACATACAGTCCCCTTTCTCTAGGATTCAAAACACATCAAAACCACTTTTCCTGCACCTTCTAGTAAACCATCATCTTGTAAAGTATTAGGTGTTATAGTCAAACTAATTATCAAAGTTCTCCATCGCCCTTTCAAAATAATTCTCCTATCTACTGCTGCCCGCTCGCTGACTTCTTGCCGAAGACAACTCTCATGGCATGGCCACAGTGACGGCTTAAGTAAGGACTAGCGCTCATTTGGAGAGCTTTGAAACCATTTTCGAGATTTAGTTCTGTGCTACTTTGCCCCATAAATATTTTTTCCTCCTTTCAATTTTCTTAGCATTTACAACGTGCTCTGTATGCTGCTGCATTTTGTGCAGGACTGCTTTTCTTCTTTGCTTTCCACATAGCATTTAGCACACTACTGCAAAAGCTGGTGTACTTGGCTTCAAAAGATCAACCGAAAATGCTTTAAAAGCAAACACCGGTGGAGCGAGAGGTTAAGTCCTCAGTATTCATTCCAGCGGTGTGAGGGCGCTCGTGGACCACGGATCCAGCCCTCCGCAGTCGCGAGGAGCCAAATGCACTCGTGTCATCTCTTAAGAGATGTCCCATCATTCCTAGACTTTCTTGTCTCAAAAGTTAAAGAACTCCGTTTTCCAGATCCTAAGCTCTAACGCGGTCCCCAGGACCTTACCCAGTGATCTAACAGTGGCCTTTTGCTAGCTGGGCATCCTCCGTTGGTCGCCAGCCCCCGCGGAGCCCAGCTGCCTAGGGGCCAGGTATTTTTATGCATTTCCTTTTGATTATTAACTAAGTTATCCTAAAGTGCCCAGGACATCACGAGCCAGAGAGAACAAGCACACAGGGGTCCTGACCCCTCAGACACACCTTGTTTCCCCAGCTTTATTCTCGGAACCTCGAGAGAACCTGGCGAGAGAGCTATCCCCCTCCTCCGCCTGCGGAGCTGCAGCCGGTCCCGAGGCCCCCACCCCGGCCCCCACCCCGGCCCCGGCCCCGGCCCCGGCCCCGGCCCCGGCCCCGGCCCCGGCCCGCCCCCGCGCGGCTCGGCGCATTCCTCTCGCGTCCGCGGCACCACGCTGGCACCGCTGCCTCGGGCGATCGCGGCCGGGCCCGCCCTCGCCACTCACCTAGCAGCTCCGCGATGGCACTGAAGGGTCGCGTGTGGCTGCTGGAGTTGCTCTGTAGGTAGCGGGGGCTCATCTGGGGGCGAGAGAAGGTCCCGTCCCGCGTGAGGCCTCGGCGCGCCGGGCCCTCCCCGCGCGCCCCCAGGAGCCCCCAGGCCCGCGCGCGCGTCCGCCCCCTCGGGCCCCCGACCTACCGTGCTCAAGCGGATTCCGAAGGCCTGCGGGCCGCCGCCCTGCCGGGACAGCCCGCAGCCGGGCGAGCCAGGGCCCCCGAGGGCCCCTCGGTACAGGAACATTTTTTTGGCCGCCACGATGATCCTTTGCTGCTGCCGGACTCCTCGCCCGGCCGTCCCGGACTAGCCCTCACTCACTCCCTCTCGCAGCTGGCAGCGGCCGTCCGGGACTGGCCCTCGCTCGCTCCCACTCGCAGCTGGCGGAGGCGGGGCGCGCTCCAGCCACCTGTCCCGGGCGGGAGGGGTGAGGCCGGCTGAGCCGAGCGGCGGCCCCGCCCTGTCAGCACCTCTCCCGACCCACCGACTGCCTGGGCTGCCTCAGGGCCGTACAGAAATATGGCGACCTCCTGACAGACGCTCCTTGATCCCCGCCCCTAATTAATTCTTGGCGTTTGCCATAGGCCAGACCGCCGAGCGGGAAAGCGCGAGGGGGGGCGCGTGGGGAGGGGCGGGAATGAGGCAAGAGGAGGGAAGAGCGTGTGTGGGATTTCTGGAACGGAGTTGCACTGAGGCTGCATGACTAACGGGCAGGATAAGACAAGTCTTTCAAGTTCTGAAGGCTACAGTTTTGCTATCTGGGAAGATAGCAGATTCCCGTGATGGGAAAGTATTCTGACTGAAATGCTTCCAGAAGCACCTAGAACTTTCTAGAAGGCAATTGGCAAACTATCTCCAAAGTCTCGCAGGATTGCAGGGAGGCTGTTTGTAAAGACATTGGATTCACTTAAATACTGCCAACTAGGGGACTGGTTAAGTGCTAGCATATCCATAAAGCAAAATACTATGCAATTCTTAAAGGCCATATCTGTAGATAAATATTTATTGATGTAGAAAAATATTCATGAAGGAATTAAGGAAATGGGAGAGTATGATATATTGCGTCACATGTGATACCTTTTTATTGGAAAAAGTATGTGCACATATATATGCAGATGCACATATATATATACATATGTATGTGTATATATACACACACAATAAAAAATGTGTATATACACACACAATAAAAAATACTTGGTATATACCAAGATGATATCTCTAGGTCTAGAATTATGTATTTTCCTTTTTCTCTTATCTGTTATCTTCTAATATTTATATTATAAACATACATTGATTACAGGAAAATAGATTTTTAATTTTTAAAACATATGACATTTTATGACATGGATGAACCATAATTTATTTGATCATTCTTCTATGATAATTTAGGTTGTCTTCAATTTTTTTATTTTGACAATGCAAAAATTGCTGCCTCAGACAATCTCATGTACAGGTCATTAATTTCTGGTACTGTTATTTCTACAGAATAAATTCCAAAACATGAGATTGCTGTGTCTAACAGCATGTGCATGGCCTAAATGGAATAAATATTGTAAAATGAAGAGGATTTGCCCTCCCACCAACAGTCAGCTATTTTGCCATGTTCATAGCACTAAATGGTTCCAACCTTTTAACTTTGTGCAAGCCTTTTGAATAAAAAATATTATCTCCTTGTTTTAATTTGCATTTCCCTGACTGAATATCTTTTCAAATGTTAATTGTATATATGCATCTCCTTTTCTATAGATGACTATTTATATCCTTTGAGCATCATTTTTCCTGTATTGAGTCCTTTGCATTTGTCTTTTCTTTAGTTATCTTTTTTTAATTTTTAAAAATATAGGCCGGGCGTGGTGGCTCACGCCTGTAGTCCTAGCACTCTGGGAGGCCCAGGCGGGTGGATTGCTCGAGGTCAGGAGTTCGAAACCAGCCTGAGCAAGAGCGAGACCCCGTCTCTACTATAAATAGAAAGAAATTAATTGGCCAACTAATATATATAGAAAAAAAAAAAAAACTAGCCAGGCATGGTGGTGCATACCTGTAGTCCCAGCTACTTGGGAGGCTGAGGCAGCAGGATTGCTTGAGCCCAGGAGTGTGAGGTTGCTGTGAGCTAGGCTGACGCCATGGCACTCACTCTAGCCTGGGCAACAAAGCGAGACTCTGTCTCAAAAAAAAAAAAACACAAAAAAACAGAGAGAACAATATAATGAATCCCCATTTACTTATTACTCAGATGCAGTAATTAACAAGACTTCCATACCTGCTGCAATGGACTTAACATTTGTGGGCTCCCAAAATTCATAGATTGAAATCCTGCCCCCTAATAAGATAGTATTAATATTAGAAGATGAAGCCTTTTGGAGGTAAATAGCCCAGTGAACGTGAAGCCCTTAAGAATGGGATTAGAGCTATATCAAAGGGACCCCAAAGAGCTCTCAACCTCTTTCTGCCACATGAGGACACAAGGAGTAGCAAGCAGTCTTTAGCCAGAAAGAAAGACCCTACCAGAACCTAACCATGCTGGCTGGCATCCTGATCTCAGACTTCCAGCCTCCAGAACTGTGAGGAACAAATTTCTGGTGTTTAACACATTGACTGCTACACTAGAAAAGAAATTATTTTCCTTGGGGCCACAGTGTTTTATTACAAAAATAGAATTGAAAACAAAACGACAGTAAAGAAATTAAGTGAGGTGGGGTTAATCAGGGATGATTTGCAAAGGAGGTAAGTTCATGCACTAGGTTTGAAACTACTGATGAATATGGATTAACAGAGCAAAGAAAGAGTTTTCACATGTGTAGGAATGATAAATTCTGAAATCAGGGGGCTATTTCCTGGAAATGGTCAGGTGGATGGGAATGAGGTAAACAGGAGATGACAATCATTTGTAAGGGTTTATTTCTTAAACACGGTGGTAAATGAATGGGTGTTCAGCATACTATTCTGTGTACTTTGTATATGTGAATATTTCATGATAAAATATTTTTAAAAGAGACAGAAATTGGTCTTTCCAGATGGTGGAACTGTAGTAAGCAGGACATCGAAGCAGGGACAATATTCTGGAGATGTTTCAACCAGAACCCTCATGTCTGGATGGAGCACTCAGAGTCTTCCTCAGAGTGATCAGCTGCCATTTCTCCCTCCCTAAGCAGAGTGCATTTTGAAAGCCTTCTTAGGCTCTCACTCTTATTTGACTCAAGGCTCAGGACCTCTAGAAATACCCATTTCCTGCCTTCTTCTAAGATGTGCTCGTGGGGTCCGTCCGTCTTGCTTGCTGACACTGAATGCCACTCTAAGTCTCAGCATGTTTGCTACTTGTGGGATTTGGTGTTTAAACAAAAGCTTTGTGCCCTCCCAAGTGATTGGTCTCCTGACTGGCAGCTGAGGTCTGTGGGCCACCTCCAAGGCCCTCTCCAGCTCCCCAAGGCAGAGGCAACCCTGAGGGGCCAAGAGAGCTGCTGAGGTTCAGGGCTTGGCCTCCCCCAGGCCTTGCGGCCACTGCATGACAATAAACAAAAGCAGCAAATGAATCCATGCAAATCCCATCACTGTGGCTCCACAGGGCCATAAAAAAGCCTTAACTTGACATGCATCACCATCAAACGGGGCTTTAGCAGCAGCTGGCACTTTTGTGAAGGAGGATCCCAGTGAACAGATCCTGTCAGTTGGCACAGCCTGGGTGCCAGTTGTGACACCCCGGGTTTTGCTACAAAATGAGGTGCAGGGAAGTGCTTCGGCAGGGTGTGGTGGAACCCTCCGAGAACCCCAGCGTGCCTCTGTCTGGGGCCAGAACTTTAGACCTCCAGGCCAGCCTCGCCCTGGGTCTTAGGCGCTGCACCGTTTACATTATCTTTTTTATTTTAGGTTGTCCCTTCTCCTGGTCCAGGCTGAGTTCCCTTAGCTACTCTCCCAGGCACGTGGAGGAGCCACAGAGGCACTTGGCATTTCCTCCTGGTCAGCTAACCTGTGACAGGTAGCTCTAACTGTTTGACACATGCACATAAGCATTACCTTGCAGGGCGCTCCAGGCTGTGTGCGTGTGCGTGTGCGTGTGCGTGTGCGTGTGCGTGTGTGTGTGTGTGTGTGTGTGTGTGTGTTCTGTTTCTCCTAGCATCTTTTGACCCATTATTTAAGATCACTTTTTCCAAGTTCCTGGTTGGATGTGATGGAGAGAGCCTAGGAGGTATTGGGGGGGGGGTCAGGCAGGTGTGGTAGGAAGCCTGAGTCAGGTGGCACAGATTCTTGTCCTGACTTCTCCACTGAATCGGCCTGTGACTTTGGGGAAGTGGCACAGGCCATGTTCCCAGGGAAGCAGACTCAGCAGAGCTTTGTGGGCAGGAGGTAGAAAGGGGAGCCCTCTCAGGACCAACACCTGCAGGGGGTGGAGACAGCAGGACTGGGCAGAGCAGGAAGTGAAACTGCCATGCAGCCACAGCAAAGGGATCCCATGGGACACTCAGAGTTGCCCTGAATTGTGACAAGAAGCCAGACATGTATGCTCCTGCATTGAGCAGTCTTTGGATGCTGGTCACCACCTGGGAAGGGTGGACCACCCTACGCATGGTGGCTCTCTTCCGGAAAGGGCCATTCCTAGAGAGGGACTCAGCTTTGCACTGTGGGCCCCCAGCCCTCCCCACAGCTGGGGAAATGATGCTCCGGTGCTAAGAGGGAGGGATGGAGCCGGGCAGGGCCCCACAGCGTCCAATTCCGCAAGTTACTTCCCCTCGGGGTCCCAGTTTTCTCACGTGTAAGATGAGTGACTGGGATGAATTCTAGAATCCCTTCCAGCATCTTCGGAGCTGTGATTCCACAGCCACCCTCTGCTCCTACCACCACCCCCTTCCTCTTAAGCTACGCCTACTGTGTTTCCCTGAGAATAAGACCTACCCATAAAATAAGCCCTGGCAGGATTTCTAAATATTTGTGCAATATAAGCCCTACCCCAAAAATAAGACCTAGTGATGGGCGTGGCTACGCAGCGTATCTGCACAACCCATGATTTCATCGTAGAGTGGTAAAGAAGATGAGCAGCTCTTCTCATCTGCCCCATTGTGGCAGCAGCTGTCCCAGAGGTGACTAGAAAGGTGCAGGCAAAACCCACCAACAAGGTTGGCTCCCCCTGTAAGGTCCCAGCCATCCTGTCCGTGCTGCAAGCTGAGGCTTTGAGGGGAAAATAACACAACCCCTAAAAATAAGCCCTAGGGTGTCTTCTTGAGGAAAAATAAATATAAGACCCTGTCTTATTTTGGGAGAAACACGGTAGTTCAGCGTCCTGCCCTTCTTAAATGTTTGCGATGACTCCTCATTGACTATGACACAGTACAAACTACTGAAGGGACTTCAGCCTCCTTCCTCATTACTTACCCTCCACGGTAAACATGGTGTTTCTGTCACATTGTCCCTTCCTTTCCTCTGCTCTTTCAATGCGGATGTGTCTGTTATGCACTCTTGAGCAGGGTATAGCGGAAAGGACTTTGGAACCAGACCTGGGTTGGAATCCAGGTCCAGCTCTCATGAACT